AAAGTACAGTACCACTATACTTGTCAGATTCGAAGCAATACACTGACTGACCAACTGCCAGTAACCACCTGATATCAAAGTAAATGGTACTTCATGTAGTTAAATCACCAGTACTAATGCTCAAACTATAACCTCATTGATAGGAGGTTACTACCATTAACTTCTGGTCAATGAAAACATCAGTCACTATCAGATGGTTAGTTAGTGCAGCAAGTAGTTGTGTCATATATACTTTCTTTTCTTGATAAAATTTCAAAAAGAATGATAAATTATTAAATTTAGTTTTGTCAGCTTCTATTACGGTGTCGATAACCCATTGTTTCATAAAAAAACATCGTATTATATACTAAAGAAATCATTTGTGAGCAAGCACTGTGAAATGATTTTGCCTAAAAGAATTGCAGTCTTGAAAATGATACTTTATATGAACTGGTATTTTCAAAAGAATTTTTGGTTTGCTATAATTAGGTCTCTGGAACATGATGAAATAATCATCATCGACGATAGAATTGGCCTTTATTGAAAGATAAAGCCTTTCAGGTTGGAGGTCCACGTGATAAGAACGGCGGCCTGCTTGAATATCTGGACTACCTGTTCCTCCGATCTACATATTTCATAAAGTTATGTGTTTTGTTGTTTGTTTTAGCACATCATTATGTCTATTGTGCACACAATCTATTCAGGCGCGTTTATGAAAAGTATACAACTTTTCGCTATACGAGATACAAAAAGGTACAATCAGCGACATCATGGTGGCTGGCAATATGCATTGAAACGAATGAACATTAATCAAATGTGGATTACCGAACTCCTAACATCTAACTGGTCATCATTCAAAATTTATCATCACAATCGATCAAGGTATAAGAAAAGGCAACTTGTTGAAATACTTTATGCTGAGAATTCTATGTTGTACCAAAAATATAGTGTTGAATAAACCTTCTAATAATAATAAATAATAAATAATTACAATCTGATGATTTATGATAAATCGTACTTTAAAAACCATTATAGATGTTATCAAATGTATTCCTTATTTATCTTAGTGAACATTTGAGCTTTCTTGTTATCTTACATTTTCATTTGTTCATTATGCATGTATTTTTGAATTATTACTTCAACAACACTTTTGTTGCGTTAATATGAACTACAGCAGCTTGTCGGTACAGTTGGCTCTATTCTCACATTTACGGATATATTTCCTTGAATACCTGAATATACACTTACGCATCAAACGAAAATGACATTTGTTTTCCGTCCATATAATATTTATCAAATCTCGCTATTTGCTAAACATTTTAGTGTCATTTTTTATATAGAGCGCTTTTCGATCACTTATGGTTGGTCCAAACACCAAGGTCAAGATTTTCAATATAAATTTCAAGATAGTTCTACTGTATGGGGCGGAAACCTGGAGAATTACGAAAGCAATCATCCAGAAAATACAGGTGTTTATTAACAGTTGTCTACACAAAATACTTCAGATCCGTTGGCCGGACACTATTAGCAACAACGTACTGTGGGAGAGAACAAACGAGATCCCAGTGGAGGAAGAAATCAGGAAGAAGCGCTGGAAGTGGATAGGACACATGGAGGAAAGCACCCAACTGCGTCACAAGACAAGCTCTCACATGGAATCCTCAAGGCCAAAGGAGGAGAGGAGGACCAAAGAACACATTACCTCGAGAAATGGAAATAGACATGAGAAAAATGAACAAGAATTGGATGGAACTAGAAAAGAATGCCCAGGAGATAGTGGGTTGGAGAATGCTGGTCGGCGGCCTATGCTCCATTGGGAGTAACAGGCGTAAGTAAGTAAGTAAGTAAGTATGGTTGGTCTAACTTTCAATGTGAACTGATTTCGGCTTAATGACTGAATATTATAATGTTGGCCACGAATACACAAGTTTTTGAAGACTGTGGGTGCATATCAATAAAGAATCTCAAATTACAGCAAAACAATTGTTTGACAACTGATATAGTTACTTCATGCAAACTAGATCAATATTGCAATGTTTTCCAAAAACTGCCTTAAGGAAACAATATTTCATCATGATAGTTGCTGTTGTAATTTTCTTCGACAGCGTGAAATGAACACATGTATACATAAAGTGTATATGATGACTGATCTGGCAAAATATAAAATACTACATTCCACTATAATATCTGTAATTGTGTCAAATAGAACAAAGTCATTAGCATTCTACACGTCATGTAAACTTTATGGTTGACCAACTGATCATAACTATTTATAAGATGAATTTCCAACCATGAAATGAGTTACAATTTCGTTCATTTAGAAAAGTAAATGTAAAATCAGTCAGGTGAGTCCTTAAGTTATTTAGTCTAATAGAGTTGTGAATATCAACTAGGTTTATACAACTTACAGTTGATTAGTTATATGTTAGTATTGTAGTACTACATCATTTATTAAACCATTAAAATATATCGGCAGTAATTATACGTCAGTAGTTTGGGCTTGACTGAATGAGTGAAGGATATACTTAGTGAATTACCAAAACGTGTCCGAGTTAATTAAAATTGGTTGGTAATGGAGGTCGAACCCAATAAATCAAAATGTAATCCACAGATTAGTCACCCTTTATTTCACAATCAGAGCAATGCCATTTAATTTATATTTGTTTGACTGTTTACATACAATACAACTAGAGAATTAAGTTGGTTCCTCACACACACACACTATACCATACAAACAAAGAAGTCATTAACACTATTGAAATTATACCAAAGAAGTTTAAAAACCTTGTTGATATGTTTCGTGCTATTTATCTGACGTAAGTGAAATTTTTAGGCGAATGACTGTTGACAATTTCTGCATTACAAGTTAGGGAGTTATTATTCATCTAACAAGTATAAATTCGTAAAAGAAGCACAAATCTTTGACGATTGATTGAAAGTTTATTATATCGTCTTGGAGTAGAAATAACATTTTACACATGAGAAGACAACTGAAATATGTACACAATTTGACACGGATTAGATTCAACAGGGAAGTCACTGATGTTTGATTTCTTATTCGTTTCTTACTGATACACATAATTAGTGATTGAATAAAAAGTGATCTGTAGTTAGACGATTGAGTTTTTCTACTAATCAAGATGAACAAACTAATTATATCCTATAAATTATGTATCCGCTAAAGTTCCCTTAAAAAGTTTTGGGAAAGATGTGTGAGTTAACCTATTTTGTGTACTCGCTGGTCGAATAGTGGTGTGTAATATTCAAGGTCACTTAAAGTCATTCCCTTTTAACACCATGATATAGTAATTTTTAAAGGCGTATAAGGTGGATTATATACAACAGCAACTATCGGATAATAACGATCATTACAAAACCGTGTCTACTATACGCTCTTAAATCCAGTAAATGTCAATAATAAACTGACATTTCACTCATTCATATATCTGGGCCCGTCAATAATGATGTATATTAATTGGTTTATCTAGAACGTAAACTAACAACCAAACACTGCTGATGTGCTTTTAATGTTTTAACTCTACAAACTGATTGTATCTGTAAGTTTCAGTTTTGATTATTTCTGTTACGAATGAATAAAAGAACTATTCAATGTTTTATTTCAATAATCAATATTACTGATGAATTTGGTTAATCTTCTAGTGCTTCAATAAACATTCTATATATTGTACAAGTAAAATAAGCTTAATCTTACTTACTTACTTACGCCTGTTACTCCTAATGGAGAATAGGCCGCCGATCAGCATTCTCCAACCCACTCTGTCCTGGGCATTCTTTTCTAGTTCCATCCAATTCTTGTTCATTTTTCTCATGTCTATTTCCATTTCCCAGCGTAATGTGTTCTTTGGTCTTCCTCTCCTCCTTTGCTTAGCCTTGAGGATTCCATGTGAGGGCTTGTCTTGTGACGCAGTTGGGTGCTTTCCTCCATGTGTCCTATCCACTTCCAGCGCTTCTTCCTGATTTCTTCCTCCACTGGGATCTCGTTTGTTCTCTCCCACAGTACGTTGTTGCTAATAGTGTCCGGCCAACGGATCTGAAGTATTTTGCGTAGACAACTGTTAATAAACACCTGTATTTTCTGGATGATTGCTTTCGTAGTTCTCCAGGTTTCTGCCCCATACAGTAGAACTGTCTTGACATTTGTATTGAAAATCCTAACCTTGGTGTTGGTTGACAGTTGCTTTGAGTTCCAGACGTTCCTCAGTTGTAAATATGCTGCTCTTGCCGTACCGATCCGCGCCCTCACATCTGCATCACATCCACCATGTTCATCAATGATACTGCCAAGATATGTAAAGGTTTTTACATCTTCCGAATCTTCTCCGTCAATTGTGATTGGATTGGTGCATGCAGCGTTTTATCGGAGAACCTTGCTCTTGCCTTTGTGTATATTGAGACCTAATGCTGCTGAGGCTGCTGCTACACTGGTCGTCTTCTCCTGCATTTGTTGTTGCGTTTGGGATAAAAGGGCCAGATCATCTGCGAAGTCTAGATCGTCCAGCTTCATCCTAGATATCCACTGTATCCCATGCATCCCTTCAGATGTTGACGTCTTCATGATCCAGTCGATCATCAGGAGAAAGAGGAAGGGTGAGAGTAAGCAACCTTACCTGACACCGGTCTTTATTTCGAACGACTTTGTCAACTGTCCTCCATGCACGATTTTACAGTTTAATCCATCATATGAATTCTATATGATATTGACTATCTTCTGAGGCACGCCGTAGTGTCGAAGAAGTTTCCATAGTGTTGTTCTGTCCACGCTATCAAATGCCTTTTCGTAGTCAATGAACTTGCTTAATCTACTAACATCTTTTACATTTCATTTGGAATTGTATCTAATCCTAAAGAAAATACTTAACTCATATGCCTTGATTTTCAATGCACCTTTATCTAGCTAACTATGATTTATGATAATCATCACTTGACGACTAAATAATCGAAAACTATCTCATTTGTAAAATTAAAAAAAAGGGTAGTCAAAATCAATTATTATAACTTACTTTAAAATGTTTTTGTAAATCATCTACATGACGAAATATTGATTTATCAAAGAATACATGTTCATGTTTACCTAAATCAATAATTCCCCATAATTTAGCTACATGAAATATTCTACCACAACGATTTGTTAATGTACGTATACCATTTAAATCGATTGGTTTTGATGCAGTAATTATAATATTAATCATACGATTTAAACGTTTATTACATACATTAATAGAATTTATATTTGAATTATATAATTGTTGATATTTATATTGTTGACATTGTTGTTTCATTTGTGAATAATCACTATGGTGATTAGAATTATCATTGGTTCCATCATCATTGTCATGATCATGATCATGATCATGATCATCATCATCATTATTAAATGATGCTTTGATTAATTTTAATTCAAAAAATAAATTATGTTGATTTAAAAATTCTTCTAATTCAATTTTAGTCCAACCAATTGTTGTTTGAACAGTTTCAGATGCTTTATTAGTTATAAATTGCATTAAATCATGTAAATTTAAACCAGATTGACCAGCTGAACCACCATGTTTTTCTAATACTTTACGTAAAAACATTATTGCTCGATATTCATTAGCAGACATAGTTAAACTAATACTATTCATTGTGTTCAATGTAACATTAGATAATGAATTGGTTAATGAAGATGTATCATTTGCTGCTGTCATTGAAGTTGAACTAACACCATCACTATTATTGTTATTATTATTGATGTTATTAGTTGATTTGTCGACATCTATTCTTTCTGTTTGCAGTCGGCTACTGATATCTGATAGAAGATTTGAACTGACAGGTGTTGCTGGCACTGAACTAATATTCTCTGACTCAGTTAATGTTTTATTTTGAGGAGATTTTGTTGAATTATCAGTTAGAAAATGTGCTGAACGGCGATGGCGGCTTCCAACATTGGATCGTTGAATCGACGATGATGGTGTATAATAACCGCCAACACCATCGGATACATTTGATAAATGCCCAAAATTTACCATATTCGGTAAAACAAGTGATTTGGGCCGGGGATTTCTCTCATACGGTATATTACGTGGTAGATAACTTTGTGCAGCATTAGATAGATTTGATGATGAACGACTTGAGTGAATAGCTGATGGACGATCGTGAGATCTTTTCAACCCAAAAACACCAGCGAACGGATCTTTTACACTAACTAAATCTCCTTGCACTTCGAAAACATGTGGATGTTTCAAAAGAAAACGTCGAAATTCCAACTGTGGACCAACTATAGCACGAACTTCTGGACTAGCCTGCGATAAATGTCCTGCTAAACTTTTAATCGGTATCCATCGTTCTTCCCGTTTAATTAATTTCTGTTGAAAAAAGTGTACTGCTTCACTTTCGAGTATGAATTTCTCCATTACTGGTAAATTGTAACAGTTTGGTAATAGTATAGATGGAGATTGTAAAGTAGTTTGTGCTGGTGATATTTTATGAATAGGATCATGTATATGGTGAAATAATGGAGCTGATGGATTCGCTGTCAGTGGAGTGGTTGTACAATGACAATGCGCTGAAGATGAATGATGATGTGCAGTTGTACAGTGATGTGTATGATGGTGACAGGTTAATTCTATCAGTGGACAGTGTATACATGTTCCATTAGTGATTGTAGAGAATTCATGATGATTACTGAGTAAGGCATTATAATTGCTACCATTAATTGTAGTAGGGACATTCGATGAAGAAGAGCATAATTCACAACCGGATGATAACATTAATGAGGTTCTATGTTCAAGATTACGTAACTGTGGTGGTTGGTAAACATTTGAAGCTTTTGCTCGTAATGTTGAGGGATTTTTCGAAGATAAACCAATAGGTGGTTGATTATCATCATTATCATTGTTTGTGATAGTATTATTATTATTATTAGTAGTAGTAGTAGTATTAGTATTAGTAGTAGTAGTATTATTAGCAACATTTTTGTAACTGGTTGTGTCGATACCACCACTAGAGAAGTTATTCCACGACTTTTTACGTCCTAATGAATGAGCAGATGAATTTTTTACAAAGTTAGACGGTCCATTAGATGAACTAATTGACTGATCAGATGTCAATGACAAACAACTTGTACTATTCAATCGATTATTATTATTATTATTGATATTATGATTAATATTATTATTAATGGTGTTGGTAGGATTGGGTTTTCGATTAGACCGAAATTGACTATATGTATATTCCTTTTGCACACATGGTATTGGACATGTTTTTGATGAGTAATTAGAATCGAAATTGTAAGAGGAATTTTGTAATGAAGAAGAACTGCTGGATAAATTTTCATTTATTGATTTCTGACCGCTTTCTTTTATTGAACAACTTTCTTGATCGGATAAACCACCGAAATTTGAATCTAAACCAGGTAATTCAATAGTGACTGATGTCACTTGTCCATTTGGTTTTACATTAAACAATGAAGGATAACGTTGTAAAAATTCACGTAAACCTTCAGCGCTTCCACCACCACATGCATCACGCATTTCTACACTGAATGATTTATGCGAAAAACGTGCTGCTAATTGATCAACAGTGATAGGACTATCAGAATTCATAAGAACTTCAAGAAAATAAAGCATTGCTTTATGACTTGGATCATTCATCATTTTATAAAGGAATACTTCTCTTCGTTTTAAATAATCTAAACATGATACAGCATCTAGTTTGATTCACGATTCATAAATCATACATTGGATATTGTGAAGTGTGAGTAACGATATTTTATTTTATAAAGAGAGAAGAGATAAACTCATTTAAAAGTGAATACAATAGTTTAACGTTTAGAATACAACTGTTAAGAACGATAATCATTAACATCAATAGATCAATCACAATAGTTTTATCAGTTTTCAAATCAGTCTAAATATGTTATATATTGACTGAACTGAGAGAACTGATTTCTATGAACCAGCCTAAATATCATTTATATAGAAAATAGTTGTGTGTTTTTTAAATATAGAACTAATGTTAGACAGAAAGTCATGTGTCAATGTTTGTGTAAATCTACGTTACTGAATATCATCTAAACCTTATCAGTTAATTGAGGAAGTTATTATTTGTATGTCAGGGGGTGAGAAACCGTACTTGAATGTAATTTCAATGAGTGTCAGTTTATAAATTTTACAATTTTAGTTTCAGGAGAGGTTCGTCTTCATGTTTTGTACATTAGGAGATAATTAAGATCTAAATCAATATGAACTATTGATTTCTTTTTGGTACACAAAATTATCTTTTCTGCATAACAGAAGGGGTTTTGTGGAGATGATAGTAATTTCAATAGTTGAGATCATCAGTCAATTGAAGTTAGACAACCACGGTAAACCTGTAAGTATTGGACGGCCGTTTTGCCCTAGTATGGCAGTCCTCAGCAGTGGCCATCCGCGATCGCACCTCTCGAGATTCGATCCCAGGACCTATCAGTCTCGCACGCGAACGCTTAACCACGAGACCATTGAGCCGACTGGCATTCAATGGTGTCAATTTCTAACTTCAACTAATCCACGAAATTGAGCAACACATCCACCATTGTTTTCAGTCAGTTACCATCTCACTACAGACCCGGTTGAAATCCACTGGTCATTGCTTCTCACTAGAACTCCAAGAGGTAGTTGTTGAATCCAGTCATTAGTGAGTATATGTTGATTAGTATCAGAAGAGGTTTTGTGGTTATTGTAGTAATTTTAATAGTTGAGATCATCAGTCAATTGAAGTTACATATATAATGTTCATCAATCAAGTCATATTTGTAATCAATGCTTATCCAATCATAATCAGATGTAGAAATTAATCAGCATTTGAATGGGGTTGTATAAGCACAGTAAATATTTGATTTGATTGTTAAACATACTTTATTCTTTGATTATTTTGATTTTAATAGTTGAGATGGCTCAATAGTCTATAGGTTAAGCGTTCGCGCGCGAGAACGATAAAACCTAGGTTTAAATCTCACGATGTGAGATCGTGGATGCGCACTGCTGAGGAGTCCCACAATAGGACGAAACGGCCGTGTAGTACTTCCAGGTTTTCCATGGTGGTCTAACTTCAGCTGACTGATGTTCTCAACTATTAAAATTACTTTATTATCCACAAAAAACCCCTTCTGATATTGATTTTGATTTCGATCATTCTACCCTGAAGAAGTTCAGACACGTTCTTCGGACAAAACGTTGAAATTATTTTTAAATTTCAGAATATGATTTTCACATGAATAATTTTATTTATTGTTGATTAACGAATTAACTAATTAATTAGTAAATAGGAACAGGATTACATAATTAAATGGGTTACGTAATAGTAATAATCATAATCATAATGAAAATTACTATTCATTAACGAAAATTGATTTAACCTCTCTTGAAATTTCAATACAATACAAAATGATTTCTAGCTAATGTGGTTGGTTGTTCTATTAATAAGTGTGTTGAAATGATACACTTCAGACATAGAAGTTTCTAAAAGAAAGTGAACATGCTCATCGTTCGTTGGAGTAATGCGTTCATTGTTATAATACCATTACATTCAGTCCCATATCAGAATCTGCCTTGGTATTTTACTTTTATTGAAAAGAGGCAGTTAAGGGTGAGTGAATGAGAGAGAGAGGTCTAATTCAGCCAATCATGAAATTTCATCTCAGTACTATTATTCACAAATACCTGTTTTTAATATATAAATTTTAATAATTTTCCAACTTATTTCAATTCCGTGTTGAAGTCAATACGGACGTCAAATCAGTTCTATTGTATGAAGTTGAATCTTCAAGGACTACTACAACCATCATTAAGAAGGTACAAGGATTTATAAATAGTTTTCTACGAAAGATACTCAATATCCATTGGCTTGATAGCGTTAGCAACAAACTACTGTGGGAGAGAACAAGCCACCTTCCAGCTGAAGTGGAAATCAGGAAAAGATGATGGAAATGGATAGGACATACATTATGGAAATCACGAAACTGCATCACTAGAGAAGCCCTGACTTGGAATCCTGAAGGGAAGCAGAAAAGTGGAAGATCAAAGAATACATTACGTTGGGACTTGAAAAGGATGAATAACAACTGGAAAGAACTGGAAAGACTTGCCCAGTGCAGGGTTCTATGGAGAATGCTAATGGGCGGTCTATGCTCCTCCACGAGGAGTAACAGGCGTAAGTAAGTAAGTTGAAAATTAACTTTAATGCAAATTGGTTTTAAATTGATGATTCAACTGAACCTGTTTTTCTTTCGTAAATTTACATCAATTAATCGTTTGAATTGAGAATATGATATTGAAATGAATAAAACAAAACAATTTTATTTTAATTCATTATCATACTACTAATATATTAATGAGTAGATTGTTTTAGGTGTATAAACGATTATTCAGTTAAAATACAGTTTCTATAACGAATATATTTGAATAGCAAAACAATAAATACCTTTCCGCTTTTTTCTTTCTTTCTAAATGTAATGTAATTCATGCGATCTAATTTATGCACATGTTAAGGATGATTGAAGAATACACTTAAGTTTATGGCGAATTAGAGCATTCTTAAAAATAACCTTGAAGAGAGAAATTAACACAATCGAGTGACCAAAAAAAAAACAACACAAAAAGTGAACTTAATGTTACAAGTAAAAACTAATGAACTACATTCTACCTTGACGGTTTCTTAAAGTGATTTCAATAGTTAAGATCATCAGTCAATTGAAGAGAAGATAGACCACCATGGAAAACCTGGAAGTACTGGACGGCCGTTTCATTCTATTGTGAGACTCCTCAGAAGTGAGCAACCATGATCTCGCCTCTCACGATTCGATTCCAGGATCTATCAGTCTCGCGCGCGAACACTTAACCACTAGACCACTGAGTCGCGCATTCATAATTCGTTTCTTCAACTTTTCGGTTAATTGCAATATTGAAAGATTCATAGTTTATAATTAAAGTAGAAAGTTATATTAGTAGATTGTAAAGTAACAGAGGGTAGTTTAGTTCATTCATCATGGAATCTAATTTATGTTATAAACTAGGTATTTATTGAGAAACAGGTGGTGATTAGCCTAGAAAAATAGTTTTTCTATGATCAGAGTGACAGACATCAGTTTATTATAATCAGAAGATATATGTAGATCTTGTAAGTGTATCTCTGTAAAGGACTTTGGTCAGAATGAATTTCTATTTTAGGCTTTATATGTTGCCTAGACACAAAAATTACTTGGTAATTATTGTTTGATTACCTCTATTTAACTTTTATAAATTTTGGTATCGTTGTTCACTAATTTCTTCAGGCTTTTTAGGTTTGAAAGGGAAACATTCAAATATGTGTGACTATTGAGTATTTAAAATATCATGGCCTACCAATTTATGGATAATCAATAGCAAATAAACGCACAGAGAGAGAGGGGGGCAGGAAACAGTCAGATCATCTAGTGTCTTTTATTTTTGTGAATAAATGGTAGTTCTAGCAAGTAAGAACATTCTAGGTAACTAGTTTGGAATTCTTAGTTTTCCATTAACGTTTACTGTTAATTGTTTGGTCGTTTCTACTTTTAGTTTGCTACTTTTTCTGTGTCTCAAAGAAATATTTGCTGCTGTATACACAGTTGTGTTGCTAAAATTTTGATTTCTTTGAATAGCAACCTTTTTTTTCTGAGTTCGGGAATTCTATTCAGTGTTTTGACGGATTGTTCTTGAAGTGTTGTTAATTAGTAGTCCTGTTCATCGGGTTTGAATGTTCTCCGTTTATCATCATAAGAATCGCTGAGCGGTTCGTAATTTGTGATTATGGTAAGCTGTCACAAGACAGAACAAGAGGGAAATTCGATCTACAAAGGAACCATCTAATCAACCAAATCCTTTTGTTCGCCCTTATATTTCATTCAAGTTAATAAACTGATCATCATCCATAGTAAATAGTTTCCTATCTCTAAACACGTATCAATTTCTTGTAAGGGCTTGTATTTTTTTATTGTGTTGGTGTTTGGGACTGCACACGATTAGTCTGTTTGTATATATGAATCCTGAGCAGATGGCTTGATATAGTCTATAGTTACAGGTTAAAATATATCTCGATTGCATATTTCGACCTGTTTGATACTTGTCGCCTGGATGCACCTGAATCCTAAATTAATGATGATACTGAAATTCAAGCTTATAATCTATTAATTCAAACGCCAACACGCTATTCGCTAAGTTGTTGACTAAAATTAAGTTCTGAATATCAAAAGTGAAATGGTTGAAACCCTTGCGGATAAAAGATTGTATCCATTGGACAAGTTATTACTTATTTGAACTCAATAAATTAATAGAAAAAGCATTGAGATTTCAAAGTGACATATAATTAGCTTGAATCTGCGTGAACATTGCTTCCAAGGTTTAGGTACATCCAGGTGATAAGTCACTAACAGAAGGAAAAGGGGGCCCTGAGTTCCTCTACTTCATATAGTTATTTCGTTAAGGTTATTTTTTTTTTATTATTGAAACATATTCTTATAGGTATTCACATTCATTTGATGAAACATTGGAACGCTTAAAGTAAATTGATTTTAAGCGATTTTATTCTGCTTCTGTGGAGCAAGTTATATTGGCAGATGTTCTAGGAATTTGTACATTCAGGCTCGTGAGCACCTACCCGTGTGATTAAGCAAAGGTGTTGTCAAAACTGTTAACAGCTCCATCTTAGACC